TTCCTTCTATAAGTTTGTCGTCGGTGACTTTATTGCGAAAATCGGGATACCAGGAGAAAGGGAGCACAGGATTGAGAGATTTGGATCAGGAACGAGAATGGTAACCGTTTTGTTGGACTCTTATCCGCCGCATGACTTTTGGGCAACTCCACTTTCATGAAGAAAGAATACCGGCGTGTACGCGGGAGTCATCCAACGGTACGACTCATGAGATCGATCACAGTTCAGATCACCTGACCACTTAGGCTGGTCCATCGAGGAGGACCCGACAAAAATCTACGACCTGCTTCTTGGAGGAGTGAGAGCCTGTGGTGAAAGTGCCTCGATGCCTTACACAAGAAACTTGGAACGGATTTCGAAAGCCACCAAGGAACTGCTAGAGAGGAGAAGAGCATTAAGGCTGGATCCGACTGCATCATATCGCGAGCGAGTGGTAGCCAATACCAGTTGCAGGACAGCTTTGTAAGATGATCTTCCAAAGCACATGCAATCGAAGCTTTGGAAGCAGCACAAGGAAGGAGAAGTCTGAAGAAGTACCGCAAAGAACTTCTCGACTATCGAGTGGAACGAGAGAGGTATAGGAGTTGATGGGAGATTCCTCTCAAACCTTCGTTTTGCTGACGACATTGTTCTCTTCTCGAGAAATATCACTGAAACGGAGACGATGTTGAAGGAACTAAACGAATTAGGGAAGCAGACAGGACTGCGAATCAACCGGAAGAAGACTCAGTCCATGAAGAACGCTTTTTGCGAGGATCGGGAAATGGAATTAGAAGGTTCTCCAATTGCGGAGACGTCTTCTTATATCTCGGACGTTCGATGAACATGGAACCTGAAAGAAGAAGTAAACAGGAGGCAAAGAGCAGCTTGGGCCGCTTTCGGGCTCCCAAAGAAAGCTACAGATTAGCTGACGGACCCAGAGCTCAAAGCCCACCTGTTCGAATCTACTGTTGTCCCTGCGCTCTGCACTGTGATTACGTCAAATGCTCTCCGAACAACCAACAGAGCGCTGCAGACGTCTTCTGAAGTACAACCGACGTACTCAACATCACGTCGGACTTCGCAGTTAAGATATGAGATCAATGACGTCTCTAAGGCAGAGCATCAATGGGCTTGTCATATAATGAGAAGGACAGACGACAGATGGACACTAAGAAATTTAGAACGGATTCCTCGCGAAGTAAAACGTTTTTGAGGGAGGCCACTACCAGATGGGCTGACGTGTTCGTTACACGGATGACCCAGCTGAATTCTCCGCTGGTAACGGCTAATGGATCTGGACCTCGCGAACGTCGCCGCAGGAGTTCAATACCAACATCGTGGATGACGCTAGCGAAAGAAAGAAACGGATGGAAACAGTTCTGTGGCCTGCATGACAAGCGAAGGCCATCTAAGTATTTAAGTAGTAAGTGAGTACTCCATAAATTATATTAACAAGGGTGGTGTTTTTGAGTAAAAAAGTCAATTCTACGCTGCTTTCGACGAAGCACTGCAATTACTAATCTAAATAGGCTAATTTTGAATACAAAGAGTCCTGCAAAGTTGTACATACAACAAAATAGGTAAAGCAATTTTTCGCTCTTAATGTCGTCACAATTGTTGCCATTAAGGTGTTAACTTAATAGCAAAAATAACGGATCAATGTCGGCGTTTTGACAAATACCTGCGCTTTTTCTAATGCTGTTCACATGCAACAGTTCAGTCAAGAATTATGTAGCCTATGTTTTGATTTAAAAAAAAACAACGTCTTCCCAAATTCTAGGTTTGCCGCATATCCAGCAGTGATCTTCAGAACGTATGTGTTACAAGTGTAATGTCAAGATACATCTATTTGGGTCAGATAGTATGGAACATCCGCATTGTTGGTCTCAAATGATTGTAACTAATTAAGGACTCTACCTACCTGACAACGTGCATTGATAGGACCAATATCAGGATAACGTAGATTATTGAGCTCTTTAGCAATGAGTGCGATTTGCTCTACTCTATCTTGATGAGCTCCAAGATCGCTTTCA